AATTTAATATAAGAAATAGATTTTTATTTGAATTTTGTTGAGTGTCAGAGGGTAGTAAGTTTCTACCATTAATGACTTGAACATTTGATATACAAATTGTTCTTAGGTGGAAAGAGCAATTGAGGGTAGCAAATGACGCATGGTCTACGTATGAGAAAAATTTCCTCCTCAAGTCTAAATAGGTATCATATTGTTACTCAATTGGAACGAAGCCTGAATGGTTCATCATCTCCTGGCTAAAACGTGAGGAAACAGAATTGACATGCTATGTTGAAGCCTCACTGGATTCTTGAGCCATCTGATAGACATGGACGGTGACACTAGTGATGATATTAAATCCCTAAGTAAAATACAAAGTTGAAATAAAGCACAGAGAGAGATATTTAATTTCTCTTTAAGACTGAATCATCCAAAAATAAAATTTATTTCCACTTCTGTGATTTGACTGGTTTAACTGTGTTTTTGAAACACTTGCTTCTTTGGAAATATTAATGGACTTAAAGTGATTTAATTAATTTAGATTGATGATGTTCCTATAAAATATACCCATGTAAGGCATCATATTTCTGTCAGCAATGAGTTGTAGAGATTTTAGTGGCTTATTTTTTAAATGTGTGCCCCTCACATATAAGCCAACTAGATCTTCCAGAAAAGTGGGGCTGTATTAATTTGTACCAAGGTAAAGTGTAGCATCAGGAAAAGAAAAAAATTGGGACTTTGTCCTTGAGATTAATGCAAGTTGCAGAATTGGGTTGTATCTACTCTATCATAGATAGGGTAAAAATATATATACTCTGAAATATACTGCCATTTTTTCAGTTTGATTTTTTCATTAGGTTTTATTTATTATTATTGTGTCTTAAACAAAATGACATATATCCAACATGGAAGCATTTCAGGTCACTTCCCTTTCATGTATTTGGAAAAGGGTGGTAGAAATGTATTTGCCCCTGCCTGTTCCTGAGTGATGCTCTTGACTTCAGTCTTTTTGAGATTTCCCTTCATCCTTTTATTATTTCCCTCCAGGATGGACCCCTGCTCATTTCAATTCTGGTCACAATATGGAACTCACTTCGTTTATGTGATTATCTTGTCTACAACAGAGCTGAGGGTAGCTCCCTGCTACTGCTTCTTTCACCTAGTATCTCATGTGCAAATTTCCATCCACCTTTCAGGAAACCCCAACATGGACCAACATGACTGTTTAATTCCACAAACCACCACCCTCCCCAGTTTATTTCCCAGTCTAAATTGGACAAGCAGGCTTGGCAGGATTACCTAGGCAGGATAGCCTTCAGCACCCTAGCCCTACATATGACTCTAGCTCAGTTCTGGTCCTCTTGTGTGAGTTCCAGAATCCCTCTTTTACTATCCTGAATGGTCAGCAGGTACCTGTTGGAATTCACACACACACACACACACACACTTCTCAAGGAAAAGTATTATTCCAAATGAGAATTTTGGTGGTGTAGTGCCTAAGGCATTTGACCTGTAACCAGAAGGTGGGCTGTTCAAACCCCCCAGCCAGAAGAAAGACTACACAATCTACTTCCATAGAGATATTGCCTCAGAAACCCAAGGAGGAGTGGCTATGAGTCAGATTCGACTTGAGGGCAGTGAGTGTGGTTTTTGGTTTTTAGGCTTACAATCAATTTTAAATTTTTAAAATTTCTTCCAATTTAACTACATTAATCCCCAGCATAAGACATTCTCTCTTAAAGGTGAATTCCTCAAATATTTCAAAGACCACTCTAAATATTTGAAATTTTATTTGCTTTTTGGACCTACATTATACAAGGCATCAGTCTTATCCAGAGCCTCTGGGAGTTTGGTTGGGAAGGAAGGAGCAGGAGGGTATTGACAGGAGAGAGTTTGGAATTTGTTTTTTCATTTCACTTGTAAAAGATTTAATCCTATGGATAATCTAAGGATTCAAAACATCATTTTCGCATTCCTATAACTTGACCGTTGGAACTCTGGTGATATAGTGGTTAAAGCATTGGGCTGCTGACCAAAAAGTACATGGTTGCTCTGTAGGAGAAAGATGAGACAGTCTGCTTCCATAAAGATTTTCAGCCTTGGAAACCCTTTGGGGCAGTTCTACTCTGTCCTAGAGAGCTGCTGAGTCAGTGAGTTGGAATCAACTTGATGGCAGTTTCTCTCTCTCTTTCTTTATTGTAACTACACCAGAGGATTCCTGGTGGCACTGAGTTGTTATGACTTGAAATTGACTCAATGGCAATGGGTTTGGATTTTTAGTACTGCCTAATAGCAATATAATGTGAACCACAGATATAATTTTAAATTTTGTAGTAGTTGCATTGAAAAATAAAATGAAACTGATAAAATTAATTTTAATAATGCATTGTATTTAAACCAATGTAACAGTGTTCAACCCAAGAAGCAAAGCTAAAGGAGGTTGTATATCCATGTTTTATATTAAGAATTTTAGTACAAGGAATTATGGGAGTTGGATAAGCAAGTCTGACATCTGTAGGACAGCCATTCAGCAAGAGAAGATCATGAATGGGATGGAAGACTACAGGCACTGGCTTGAGTTATCATTCACAGACAATTTCTTTCCTCTCCCAAAAAACCTCAGCCTGCTTTTAGAACCATCCAATGGAAGTAATAAAGCCCATCTAGATTAACAAGGATAATTTCTCTTGCTGAAAGTCAACTGATTAGAGGGCTTAATTATATCCCCAAAATACTTCATGGCAGCACTTAGATTAGTGTTCAGTTGAATAACTGGGGACAGCAACATAGCCAAGTTGGCACATCAATAAAATCATCACATCCAATATGTTCAAAACATATCATTACAAAACATACAAAAACCAAACCAAACCTGTTGCCATTGAGTTGATGCTGACTCATACCAACCCCATATAACCTATATAAAATTAATTATATTTTACATCTTTTATGGTAAGCCTTTGAAATCCAGTATATATTTTATATTTATAGCATAGTTCAAAGGAGCTCTGATGGTGCAGTGCCTAAGGCATTTGACTGCTCACCAGAAGTTTGGCTGTTCAAACCTACCTGCTGCTCTGTGGAAGGAAGTTGGGGCAATCTACATGCATAAAAATATACTGCCCAGAAACTCAATGGGGGGGGGGCACTATTAGTCAGAACTGACTCAGTGGCAGTGAAGGTGTTTTTTTTTTTTTTTTTTTTTTTTTAGCACAATCCAATTCTGACTAACCACATATCAAATGCCCAGTGCATATAATTGTTGATTGGCAGGTCTGGAAAGCGATGACGTATGGTCAGGCTGGTTATCTTGCATGTTTAGAGCAGTAATTCTAGGGCATTTTTCTCCTATAGATTGCATTTGGCAATGTTTGAAGACATTTTGTATTGTTATGACTGGGAAGTAGAAATGGAGGCTATAGGCATCTAGTTCCTAGAGACCAAGATTGCTGCCAAATAGTTTAGAGTACAAAGAACTCTCCTCCCTTCCCCCCATCCAAGTTAACATTTATCCATTCCAGAAAATCAATAGTGCTAACGTCAAGAAGCCTATCTGTACAGTAAAATTTGGAGATATCCAAGGAAAAGGGTTAAAAATAAGGTGAGAAAGGCAGAGAGATGGACGTTTTCTTTGCCCTTTTGAAATATTTCTCACCCCTTGGAGAATATATTTTGAGGATATGATTGAGCATCTTAAATGTCTCATAGCCTTTGCCATATTTTCTGCAGTTGTATTATGTTTAGGTGGAATCAGAGTTAGGGATGGAATGAGGATAGAAGATGATCCTACAAGTAGTGAGATGATCCATTAAAGAGAAAAATGAGGGAAGCAAATTTTCCTAGAGGTGGTTGTCTCCTTAACAGGTGAATGAAAGTTGGTAACTATCTTTTCTAAAGATCTTGGTCTTGATTTAGTAAATTTCTGGGAAAATTACAATAAAAACAAATGCAAATTTACACGTGGAGAATTTAAAATGTATACAGTAATTAGTACTATCTCAGACCATCTGTGGAATAAAGTTGTGATAAATAAATAAGTAAGCCTCATTAGCATTTTTCTAAGAAAACCATATTTAAGTGACTTTTCAGAGTCAGTAATCATATTTGTAAGCTCTAATCTCAAATTTACTTCAAATTAACTACAAATTCAGAATTCATTTTCTAAGCCTTGGCAATGGATGTATTCTGAAGCTAGTTGCAAATTGAATAAATTGGTTAGAACCTGACATTTAGGAAAAAAAAAGGAACTAACTTATTCTACAAAATGCACTATATCTGCTTACAGTAATTATTGGTTAAATGCAATGCCAAATGCTGATTATAAACATAGCTTAGAGTAAATACTTCTGAGATATATTTCTTATTAGACAGTTGTTACAGTTCATTTCACAAATTCTTAATTTAACATGTAAAAACTATGCCTTCCTAAATCTAAATTATATTCTTATTAAGGATTCTTAAATTTGTATTGAGAGCAATTAAAATAAAACATATTTATAGTTTGGGATCACTTTTAACACTGAAAATGGTGACAACATATCTGTCATTTTTTTTTTTTTTTT